TCCTGCACTTTTGTTTAAGAAGAATTTTACTTAAACAAAAGTGCAGGAATAAAATAGCTCTGGATAGACTTTCACCAAGTGAAAAAAAAAATCCCCCCAAAGAAGACTTTAATAAAGATGTAAAATAAGCCATCAGTTTAACTGCTTGTGTTTTAATGTCACATTCTGGACGGACCCTGAGTGCTAGGACCAGTGAATGGTTTACAGTGGTCTTACCAGGCACTGAAAATGGTCAGACTGGGTGGATTTCTTCCATCAATTCAATATCTTAGAAAAATCAATTTATTTCTTGGTGCTTTATTATTGTTTAAAAGACTAGATCTTGAACTTAGATGGAATTCAATAAAAATTTCATGGAATTAAGTTGAATTCCATGGGAAAATTTTTGATTTGTCATATAATATTAATCCAACTGTACTATTTTCTGTAGATTTCATTTGATTCTGGGAAGTTTTTGAACATTTGGGAGAAATGGTGGTATTAGTTTAATGATTGATGCTAGAATTCCTATTTTGGCTCATTTCTACTGTCCTTCCAAAGGACAGTGTGTGTGTGTGTGTGTGTGTGTGTGTGTGTGTGTGTGTGTGTACACGTATGAAAAGAGGGAGCATATCTTCTGATGTCACACAGGCCTGGCTTCCTTAACTGTGTGATCTGAATAACCCTCAGAACCTCAGTTTCTTTTTCTGTGATGTGGGTAAGTATTCACTTCCTAGGGATGAATTGTAGTTATGTGGGCAAGGGAGAGAACTCTTTATCCTTCTCAAAAGGTTTGCTGTGACACTGAATCAATCTCTAAGTTGAGGAATGGATTTTTGCAGGGGTTTTGGATAATATGTCCAAACTTTCAAAATTAGTTACCAGTAGGATTGAGATAAAATTTGTCAATTGCATTGCAATATAAAGCAATATAATTCCATTTAGAAGCCTGTGCATTATGCATTGATGTGCATTTTCTTAAGGGAGTGAATTTCAAATTTTAGAACAGTGAATAATAAAGCAAATTTTGTTTGCCAAGGCATCTATATGATTGAGCAACTTAAATGTAATTGAATATTTTCTTTTAATATTAAAGTAGTACAGTAGTAATAGCCCAAAGAGGTCAAGTAGATTCTAGTTGCAATCCTAGCAGTTTATCAGCCTATATAAGAAAACTGTCTTGCTAACATTGCCTCTAGTTTCAGTGTCATAACAGTTGGTATTCTGTACATAAAGAAAAAAAAAGATATAATTTCTTTCTATTAAGTTGCTTAAAGGAAGGCTTGATTTTACTTTCATGTAATATTTAAGACTTTGTATCTAACTTATTCTAGTAGCTTGAATAAACTGAATATGAGAAATAAATGAACTCTAATAAAACGGTTTTTATGTGCTATTAAAGTAGGACTTAAATTTTAAATTTGATCTGGAAAAAAACCTGAATGATTTAATTCAGTCAAATTCAGGTGAATTAAGTTCTATACAAATAATAAATTTTATTTATATTGAGTGATATAAGAAAGTAGTATTTTCATCTTTAGAAAGAGTTAGTTTTTCCTAGCTGGTAAATTGACCTGGGATTGCTGACTTTACATATTTTAAAGCCCACATCCTTTTGGGGTTTACAGATGGGGAAAGTTAGAATTAAGTTGTAAGATTGTGGCTTCATATTGCCAAAAATGATCTGTTGGTTCAAATAATTTTCTAGTAGAAAAATCAGGCAAATAATTTCCTCAGTGTTCTTTGAAATGATGCTGCATGGAGGTTTTTCTGGTTAGATGCACATTTTCCATTGCTTTTAGATGAGCAATCTAGCAATAAACACAGTTATTTGCTAGCTTGTTAGAAAATTCTATTTGTAGTGGAAAGGGCTGTCCTATTGAACTCAAAGATTCTGAGCCTTTTAAAGTCATCTTGTGGTATTCTTTCTCTTTAAAAACAACAACAACTACAACACACAGTCCTTTTTGAAAAAAAAAATAGTAATTATTTCCCAGAAAAATGCAGGATACAAATACTCACAAAACTTTGCAGATAATTTTTGAGAGTCCATAGATCCCTGTAGTCATCTCCATAGTTGTTGGAAGACCAACTTAGAGGAGCAGAATTCCTCTTTTTGAAGAGATAAAATAGTGGGAGAGGAATAAGCGTTTAAGCAAAACTGAAATTTGACCATGCACCTTTTTCATCAGAACATGTACTTGTTGAGCACCTACTGTGTTCCAAGGGTTCCCGCAGTGAGCAAGGCGTAAAGGGGCCTTGAGCTCACAGAGCTTATTTTCTGGGGGATGATGATTGTTAGGGTTCCACACAGTGTCTTGACCCTCAGGATTAATTCTTGCTGGTGCTTGTAAATTTAACCAGTCTTTTTCTTCAGAAACCAGAGATGATTTTGATTAATTGACCTGACAGTGCATGGCACATCATATTTACTTGGGAGAATTTAATAACCCCAGAGACTCCCAAAGGAAACATGAAAATTTCCACATACTATTATCCTAATGGGATCATAGTAGGAGAATGTGCAAGCAAAGATTGAGAGTTCTCACAGGCAGAGGAAGCTTTCGGTCATTTTTTTTTTAATGTTGTTAAAGTTTTTTTTTTTTTTTCTCTTTTTAATCTGAATTTACTTTGAAAAGAAAAGTCAAAACAACAGATACTGGAAGCATGAAGCTAAACATTTATTGTCTTCCTAGGGAAATGAGTAATTTGCTTCCTAGGGAAATGAGCATATTATTTATAATTTAAAAATATGTAGAAATGATTTTTTTTGTTAAAGTGTGGTGGGAAATATTTCATATAGGTGGGAATTTTGAGAGGGTAAAGAACTAATCTAGAATATTCAATAGAGATGGTTCTTCAGGCGTTCTCTAGCACCAAATAGAATCAATATCCATCACTTGGGAATGTGTTAGAAATATAAATTCAAGGAACCCAGCCCATACACACTGAATCAGAAACCTTGGAAGGAAGCCAGTAACCTATGTTTTACTAAACCCTTCTGGATGATGGTTATGGTGATTTTGATGCTCTAAAAGTTTGAGAACTATAATTCTACAGTTATACCCAAATTATTGCTTATTTCATTGATACTTATCACATATATATGATGTAAATCATATTGAGAGCTTTGAAGTTTATAATGCAACACATGGCAAATTTTTAGCATGTTCATTTTCCTTTAAAATATTCTTTTATTTAAAGGAAGTCTGATTTTAAGTTAATGCCGAAAATAAGATTTATATCAAATGAGATAACTTTGTACTAAATTAGAAAACATATTTGAAAAACCAAGTATGCTAACACAGACTAGATACATTATATATTATAGTTCTCTTTTGCTTTCACACACGAGTTTTTGCTTTCAGGTATATATTTTTTTAAATTTGTCATATATATTACTAATCCACTCTTCTACTTCATTTCACAGTGTTTAAATGTGCTTTGAATGTAGAAATATTGATATATTAGAAACTTAGAATTCTATCTCTGAGTTCATTTTGGATATGCACATTTTTGAATATCTTATAATTTATACTGAAATAGAATGAAATTTTATATGTCTGTAGGGCCGAGTTAAGTTTGAATTTAAGAAATCAGAAGTATAGGACATATTGCATTTTCTCATTGCTGCTAGTACCACCCTTGCTGCCCATCTCCTATCAGCCTGAGGGTGCAAATGAGTTACCTTAACATTAACATAAATAATCTACAATTTTCTGGCTTGTTGTCCCCATTTGCTGACAGCATAATGCAGTCCCTTCTCTGGAGGACGCCCCTGTTCTTTAGGGAGTTTTCAGAGTGTATTCAGATGGCTCAGGAGCAAGGCTGCGGTGGTTCCTACGCTGGTCTCAGGGTGTTTTCCTGATTGCTCCAGTGTCTGGGGAAGGCTGGTCCCCTGTCCAGATGCCCTGTCTGATGTGTCCTCAAACCTTAGAACCTTCTCTATATAGGTCAACAGGTGCTCTATTGTGGTCACAACTTCCTTTGCTGGGGAAGCCCTGATTCTGAGCCCTTATCAGAAACAGGGAGACCGCTGCTCCACCCCTTCCCATCAGACCTGGGCCTGGAAATGGCACTTCTCATGCCCCCAGGACTCAGAGCTTGTTCTTAATGGGAGAAGACACCTCTTGTATTGTTAACGTGAATTCCATGCCATTCCTCAGTTCCCACTTCTTTTTCCTAGGCACCTTCACATTAAAATGGGAAGGTCCCTTCCCCTGGGGGATCCAGATGAATAAAACCTTGTAGGAGGGGCCACAGCAGGCATTGGTCCTATGTGGTCATCCAGGGCCCCACCCTTAGAAGGGTCTTTCTGTGCTTGGTTTCTTAAACGAGGCAGCTGTCCCGGGCAGCCGCCCACCCACTCAGCAGAGATCCAGACTCTGCACTTCACCTTAGGGACAGTTTGCTCAACAACATCTCTTTCCCTTTTAGAGTAGTTGCTTAGATTTACATTAATAAAACAAAAATTCTCCTTAGAGCATTTTCCAATATCTGGCAATGAGATACTAAATTCCAACAGAGCGTTTTTTTATGGTAGAGTCTATAAATATATAGGAATCCTGCAATAGTGGACTATTATTGGCTTCTTAGACATCAAGTCAATTTTGAATGTTTTTCTTTGAAAAAAAATCATATTTGTTTACAGATTTTCCAGTGTAAAAGGTTGGAGAAAATTTATCAGAAACCAAATTAAATGTGACTCATTCATTAGACACGAATGGAGGACCCATTAAGTACTAAGTGCAAGGCTATAAAAATGGACGAAGGTCCACTTCTGTTTTCTGAGAGCTCAGAATGACAGATGCCCAGAGCAATGACTTCTGTACAGGGAGCAGGGTGATAGGGTAAGGGAAGAGATTAAACATTGTTTACTAACGTAGCGCTGTCTGGAGTGGCGTGGAGTTTGTGGAAGGCCTTGGGAGTGTACTTTAGGATTCCCATCACTGTGGCTTGGTCAGACTTGCTGTTTTGATTCATATTTCATCATGTTCCCCCCCACCCCCCTGTGCTTTTAGCCTCAGCACCTCAATCAGACGAAGGCTCTGACATTGACTCCGAACCAGATTTGCCACTGAAGAGGAAACAGCGCAGGAGCCGGACCACCTTCACGGCAGAGCAGCTGGAAGAGCTGGAGCGTGCTTTCGAGAGAACCCACTACCCTGACATTTACACCAGGGAGGAACTGGCCCAGAGGGCGAAGCTCACTGAGGCCCGAGTGCAGGTACTGGCATCCACACTTCCCCAGATGACTCGATGCAGATAGGAAACCCATGAGGGTCTTCTCTTCTGAAACATGCTTCAAACCAAGAAAACAAATGCATTAGGAAAGGCACTAAGTGGGGATGTGTGTCTTCGGATTTTGGTTATTACTAAACAAATATGTTGGTAATATTTAGGATGCACAGAAGTTCATCTTATTCATGGCTGTTCCTCATTTCTGGAATCCTTACTGTGTATCAGGTACTTTAGGGATTTGGAGGTTAGTCCTGAGATAATAGCAAACAATTTTTTTATAACTTAATTTAATTTATTTATTTATATGTGGTGTTGAGGATTGAACCCAGAACCTCATATACCGCTGAGCCACAACCCCAGCCCCAGTAGCAAACAATTTTTGAGTATATGTTCTGTTTCAAGCACTATTGAATTACGTCATCAATCATTACTAGGTTGATACTATCATTACCCCTACTTTATGAATAAGGAAATGGAAACTTGGACTATTTAACTACCTGTGGTGGCACAGCTGCATAACTAGTGTACAGAGATGTGGATCCCATACACTGCATCTCTGGCCTTTCCATTAGGAAAACGTACAAAGGTGCATAAGGTAAAGTCCTTTCCTTTAAAGATCATAGTTTGGAAGCACTTCAAGTACTTACACAATTTTAATACTATATTGAATTATCTTTTGAACTCTTGGAAGTACTCGGAGCCTTCTGGAAATGGCTACTTAGATGTAACATGTTTCTACTGAATGTAGAATATTTATATCATCAGTGGGGAGCTTCGCCCTCAAGTTAGTTTGGTAGACTCTAAAAGACAGTAACCTGGAACTCCTTGCTGCCCCAGAAGTTGAGTTATTGTACCCAGAAGTTACTCCCAGCCGTCAGATTTTCAGAGTCTAAGTCCTGGTGACACCATAGAGATAAATCAGTCAAGGGACAGGTCCCTGGATTGGGGCAGTGCTTCACATTCACAGTGCATTACCTCTCCGATGACAGCTCTTTACAGAAGTAGCCTCTTCCAGCTTGCACAGTCTAGGTAGAGGGATTATTTCAGGTGGAGAAAAGGAAAGGACGAGACCCTAGGGTACATAGAGAGGTCAAGGATAGACAGCTGTGGGACAGAGCGGGGAGGGAGGATGTTAGGAACAGAGAGTCACATGCACAAAGGCATAGAGATTGGAAGTGCTTGGGCGCCACCTAAGATGACCTTGCATTTTCACACAGTCATTGGGAGACAGCAGTGAATAGTCCAGTTTGCTTAGAGCTTACACAGCTGCAGCTGCAGGGGGAGAGACAAGCTGCGGACCTCCTGTGGAGGCTAGAGAGTCAGCCTGGCAGCTCACAATGGTGCTACAGGCAGTGGGGGCTGTGGCGTGAAGTCAGTAACCATAATGGGTTGGCAAGGAAGGGATGGTGGCGAAAGGTACTCAGAGGTGGAATGCAGGCAGTTGGTGGTGGAAGACAGAGGTGAGTAGGAGGCGAAGGAAGAGTCACCAGGGGTCATTGGGCTGATGATTTAAAGTTGGAACTGTCGAATTCCTCTGCCCACCTCAGTGGGATCCAGAGTAAAGTCATTATGGTGTGTGGTTAACATAGGTCATTTTTGTCCTGGGCAATGGGGAGAAACACACGGTATCCCAGTGACCTGGGTGAAGCAATTTAATAGTTCTGTCATGCTGTGATATTATGATACCATATAATGCTGTTATAAAAATAAATAATTGAGACCTATTTTGCTTTGATTGTAGCTCTGTGATTACCTGGTTTAAATGTGAAGGGACACATTAAGCGTGGACATTAAGTGTCTATTTCAGGATGTAGCTCCTCTGCTCCATGGTTGGCCAAGCCCACATCCTGGGTCTGTGGTTCTAAAGACAGGTTGAAGATCAGTTCTGAACTCACGGAATCAAAAAACAAACTTTTTTTTTTTTTTTTTTAAATTTAAAGAGATGAGACAAGGCAGGTGATGGGAACTGAAGGGGTGTTCACTATTGCACTACCTTATTTGTGCCTTTGTCAAAAATAAGGTTGGGGACAGACAAAATTTCAAACCCCAGTAGCTTGCATGGTACCCAGCATTCTCATGTGGCTCAATGAATGTCAAAGGATAATAGTAATGGCCCATTAACTTCCAGAGGACATGGGATCAAACCAATAAAGAGTGGTTCATATTTTTCTGTACAGTGACCTCCCTTCCAAAGCAGGGTCCTCATTAACGTAACAGCTGTCTTAATGTGGCTTTAACCCGGTGACTCCTTACATTCCTTATGGCTTTGTTGGTTCCCTGGAGACACATCATGTCTTACACCAGGCTATGATCTACAGCCTAACAAATTCCCTAGAACACCCAGCATATGGACCCTTTACTTAACCCAGCAGGAAAAAGAAGGGAGTAGTTAATCACTGATTAAAATGCCAAAAGAAAATCTTGTAGTTTTTAGAAGGATCTGGGAAAGCAGTAGCTAAGTCAGCTCACTTTGAGTGATAGCCAGAAAGTGTGAGTTAGTTTAATTTGGGGCACCTGGGAAAACCGAGCCCCAAACACCCCAAACCGCAAACCATGTCTGCATTCTGTCCTCCGCCCCTTCCCTCTACCCGAAGGAAAAATATTTCTAGACTCTTCTGGATAGAGATGAGACTAAAGCTGTAAAAACATAGGTTTTTGTCAGTGTTTTATAAAAATTCGTTTGGACAGTAGCTATGTTGTGTTTTTCATGGCCAAATCTGAGTACATGATCTGAGAACTAGTGTACAGCAAAGACTATTTGCCTAATAATAACAACATTAGAAGTAAAAAAAAAAAAAGACTGCTGAATTTACTGGGGTAGCAGTTCATATGCAAATGATGACAAGCATTACATATTTAGGGGGCAAAATTATTTGCAAATATTAATGATGTGCAAAAGTCTTAGCAACTATTTCATCTAAGAATTCCACGGAGAAGGCACTTTTCTCCTCTATCACCATGATATTGGAAGATAGGAAGGGATGCTACTTGTGGAAATATCATTTAACAGGCAGTCAGACGATGTGGGTTTTGGTCCCCGCTTACCAAAAGTGTTTTGTTGAGCAAGTCACTTAATCTTGCTGGGCTTTAATTCGCCCCCCCCCCCGCTTTTTTTAATAACTTATATGGAGTAAGTTAGATCAAATGATCTTAGCCAGAATATTCATGGCTGAACTTTTGAAGAGCTTGAGATTTGTATACAGGTTGTGTGTGTGTGTGTGTGTGTGTGTGTGTGTACATGTGTGTACACAAGTATTAATTAGGGAAGCTGGATTTCATCTTATTCTCAGTTACCATCTCTCTTACATCACAAATTAAAAACTACTAGTATGAGTAGGATATATGATCTCTCTGGACCCTTTTGCATCAATAATTGGGGATTCTCAGGGAAATTTAATGGTGATTTAAAACCACCTAACATATCTGTATAGTCCAGAAGTTAAGATAGGTATAGAAATACTCTGAACTCCATAATGAAGCAAAACTATGGCCACCCCACAGCTCTCCATGGGAGATTGTTTTTGCTATATGAGATGCAGTTGAACGTGCTTTTGCAATTGTCCATGGTTCTCTGAGATGCTCGGAAATGTGACATTCCTGGCCAAGGCAGGATAGTACAGTGATAAGAGGAGGGGAGAGAAAGGTGATGGGAATGAATGAGAGAGAGTCCAGAGAAAACAGCAGCGTGCCCCACGTTTTCTACTGTGCTTGGCATTGCAGTATTAGATGTCACCAAGATTAGTGCTTAAGAAATCATTTTATGATCTCCTTGTGAATTCTCTTTCTAAGGATGAAGTGTTATATTCTCCATTTTTTTTTCAATTTACATTTGAAATAACACATCTGGAGTCATGTCGGTTAGATTGCCTTTGAAGACAACACGAAAAAAATGTGAAACAGTATTTTACTGATGGGCAAAATTAGGCTCACACCATGGGACAATTAGCACTAGTCAACGAAATTTGAAAGCCACTTTGACCTAAGCTTCCCTTCAAGTCAAACTGGCTTTTGAGTATTTAAGGTGTTCTTCGGGCACTTTCCCGGTTACTTATTGGCATGTAAGCTTTGGCTGTGGGCCACAGAATGAGGAAACAAAGCAAGTCTTTAAATCCTGGTTTTCTCAGACATAAGTATCAGTGTGAGACTTTTAATGAAGAGGTAATATTTTATATTTTAGTTTTTAGATATATTTTACTTGTTGATAGACCTTTATTTTATTTACTTATTTATATGTGGTGCTGAGAATCAAACCCAGTGCCTCACATGTGCTAGGCAAGCACTCTACCACTGAGCTACAACTCCAGACTCTATAATTTCGTTTTATTTTTGGCAGTGCTAAGAATAGAACCCAGGGCCTCATGCATGCTAGGTGAACACTCCACTGCTGAGCTATCTCCATATCCAGCGGCTGACATTTATTGAATACATAATATCTCCTATATATTCTTTGAAGTGCTTTGATTCCATCTTTTTAAATTGTTACAACCATACTGCAAGGTAGTTTTTAAAAAATATTTTCTCTTTAGCAAATCAAAAATCAGAGGTCCACCATTGATAAGCAAATTGTTCAAAGTCACAGAAGTGATAAGTCAGGAGCTAGAACTCTGCTTTTGCTGTTCTGCATTGAAACCTTTTGTGTCATTACTGTGGGGAGTACTCAATTTTCCCCAATTTCTACTGTTGAGGATCTGAACAAGTTGGCTACTTTGCTCATAAAGAGAAAAATTTAAGAATATCTTATTCTTCTTTTGCAACTCATAATCTTTTTTTTCCTGGTTATTATGATGTTTTGGGGAATCTTTCAACGAATTTAAATTTTGCCTTGAAAAGTTTTTTGATATCTGAGTATTCCTGAAGTTCATGTGAAGATCATTTTCCAAAAAGAATAGGTATAGATTTATCACTGGACTCAGTATAGAGATGTATAGGGAGAGAAAAGCCCAGGGGGTGGACAAAAATGCCCCGGGCTCTAGTTTATCAAATGAAGTGCAAACTTGCTTTGAGGGTGTTTAGATGCATTGTGATATTACAGTGCAATTATAGGCAATTAACTGTGCCTAAGAATAGGTTACCAACCAATGCAGGAACCTGCCTTCACTTCCTTACATGCCAAGAGTGACCTGGGAAGCCAGGCCATGTGCTTTGCAGAGAGGAACATTGAATTGAATTACATATCATAGAACCACATTATCAGGTATGTAGCTGACTTTGTAAAATTGGTGGAAAACTCATATTCTCTCTTAGAGGATCAATCAAAGGCCAGTTTGTTTCTCTTGTTATTCTTTTCAAAACCAGGACAAATTATAGTAATTACAACTGAATAATGAATACTCTCCATTTATTTTTGATGAATTTATTTAGTATTTTACACTCACAAATGTCATTTACACATGTCATCGATGATCTCTTAGGAATTAGTGATTCTCTATTGAGTTATCTAAGACTTCTGAGTACCAAGAGATTTTTTTTTTTTCAGTTAAATATAGGAAGATAATAGCGTCCCAGGATCTCTGTGCTTTGTCCATTTGGGTATTTAAAATGAAGAGTATTTCAAGGGCATCATTTTCTACTAAAAAGAGAAGATATATCTCTTCTGAGTTTCAAAGCATGAAGAGGGCAAAGACTACTTCTCAGCATTCAATTTCAGTATATTTTCCTTCAATTTTTTTTGCAGGCTTGGCTAGTTCTAGAAAATGAAGAAGGTTGGCATTGGTAAGATGATAAAAAATTTATGTAAATGGTCAGAGACAGGAAGGCCAGTCCTCACTATGCCCTGGTTCTCTAAAAAATAGCCCTCTGAGCCTAAATTTAAAGAACATTTAAATTCTTGCTTTTGGGAAACTCTTGCTGAAGGCTTATTTTTCAGTAAAATAAGATTTGTTTCTCAGCAATTTATCATCACCCTTTTGTAGACATAAAATATTATATTGCAAATATGAATTTTTAAATAAAAATCTTTACCTCCCACCCCTAAACTAGCTCCTGGTGGGTTTACTGAAAATCTTTTAAATTTATTTGTGTTATAAAAAAAAAAGAAAGAAAACAAATCTCAAATCCTTATACTCCTAGAATCTATCTTTTGAAGGAATTTGTAGAAAGTTCTGATATTTTTTTCTTTATGATTCCAGCAATGACCTTCTTTGCTTTTAAAAATTGAGTTTTGGTCTGGCTAGAACAGTAGGTGAGATGGGTGGGGAGATCAGGCACTGCTGCCCTGTGGTAAATCTAACCTGGTTTACTTATCTAAAGGTCACAGAAGGAAGTTGGCACAGAGAGCATGGCAGCAGGCTCTGATAAGAATCCGTGTGTAGGTTTCTGAGGTCTCCATGGAGGGTCTCACCACTGGCCTTGAGGATGGTAGATATATGCAGGAGCAAGATCACATCTGTACTTTGGGGAGTTTATTTTTCCTCCTAGTCTGGCACGTAAAGCCAGAGACATGCATCGTTGGTCTAGCAAGGTGTGTGGGGCCACCTTGGCTGAGCGGAAGTGCCTCTTTTACCTTGAGGGTTTATAATATGAAGCTATGACCACAATAGGGGGTAGAGTAGGGTATACTCAAGCATGAATGTGACTCTAAAACAGTTTGTCCCAAGCTCTTCTTTGAAAGTGGATTTCTTTTCTTAATTAATTAATTAATTTTAATTAGGTATATATGACAGCAGAATGCATTTTGATTCATTGTACACAATTGCAGCACAACTTTTCATTTCCCTGGTTGTACATGATGTATCGTCACCCCGTTTGTGCAGTCATACATGTACCTAGGATAATGATGTCATCTCATTCCATCATCTTTTCTGCCCCTCCCTCCCTTTTGCCCAAAGTTCCTCCATTATTCCCCTGCCCCGAACCCCCGTTATGGATCAGCATCCACTTATCAGAGAGAAAATTCAGCCTTTGATTTTTTGGGAAAATGGTTTTCTTACCACGATGCCTCTGGGAGTCTGGGTGACAGGCACTCAGACTTGCAAAGAGAAAACAACAAAGCCAGACCCCAAAGGGCTTGCTGTTTGTAGTTCTGTTACCCCAGGTGGCAATTTATTAAGTAAAAGCTCTGATTCAATTATGTATCAACATGGGAAATATTGATTTACCTTCTCTTCCTGTCGGAAAAAATAAAGAGTATTAAATGTTAATATTTTGTGGAAGTTCAATCCACCTTTCTTACCAGTGTTGTAACCATGGCTAGAGAAGAAAAATCTTTTTTTCAGACATATTGGGTGAGTAATGGAAGTTTGAGCAAGTGCTAAATTGAGTCTTTTGCTCCAGAAGGAAGAAAAATCGTTTTCTATTATATTTTGTAAATCATATGACTTTAAATAATTTCAATTAAGTTGTAAAATTGTTAGTATTGTCCTAGAAGGAAATCATATTTCACTTTTTTCTTAGTCTGGTCAAGTCTTTCTACTCTGAATTGTGACCTCCATCTGGAAAGATTCCTTATGGGAATCATATCCAAACTGTAAAATGAGCTGCAATTTTGCCTCCATTCTAAAGATGTCTTGATCTTCTGTACCTTGAAACACGGAGCTTTAGTGAGCACTTATTTTGGTCTCCTTGACTTCTCTGTGAGCTCCATGAAGACAAGGCTGGAAACCATCAAGTGCAAGGGTCCTGCCTCACCCACTCTTATCCCTCCAACCTCAAATAAAATGCTTTGTTCATGTTAAGTTTTAATGAACTTTTTTTTTTTCTTTTTGTCAGTACTGAGGTTGAACCCAAGGGTACTCTACCACTGAGCCACACTGCAAGCCTTTTTTATTTTTTGAGACAGGGTCTTGTTAAGTTGTCCAGGCTCGTCTTGAACTTGTGATCCTCCTGCCTCAGACTCCTGAGTAGCTGGGATTACAGGTGTGCACCACCACACCTAGCTTCAATGAACTTTTGATTAAAAAAGAAAAAAAGAAGTTCTTTAGTTGATAGAAACCTTCTCTTGTGGTAATCATTATGTGTGTACCTTGGAAAAATTACCCCAAGTTCTATGTTTACATTCTGCAAATAAAAATCTTGGATAAGGTCATGTTACTCATGGAAGGCCTTATATTGCAACAGTTTAGATGTTCAGTTATATTTCTTTTTGCCATTTTTGTTCTTTCTCTCCACTGATACACACACACAACACTTGGACTTTGAATCCCTGGAAGTATTTTATTATATTATATCAGCACCGTGACCAGCACAGAGTATCATAGGTGCTTTATAACTATTGAAAGAAATGATAAATAAACTATTTAAGATGAAAAATATTTTAATTTTTGGAAACACTTTGGCCTGTATTTCTATTGAGATCAGTGTAAGATTTTAAACTTTGAAAGGGATGGTCAAATGGCTCCATTTGCTTATCCTCTGGCTCAATTGATCTGATTATCTCGGAGATATGTCCATAATGACTGTGGAAATACAGAGAAAGACTGATAGGAGCATAAAACACAAGGCTTGGTGTATGTAATAAGCAACGTCAAATGTAAGGTTGTCCTGTGTGGGTACCAGAGCTCATGAATACTTGCCAGAAAATCTGTGGTAAGAAGGTGGATGGGTGCTGATGGTCACAGTGGAAAGCTGGTATAGTTGCAACCCCTGCTCAGCAGTCTTCACCCTTATTTATTACAAAGATCATGGGGGCTTCTACAAGTCCATGGAAGGTCCTCTATGCCCTCTGCTGACCCCTGGCCTTTCATTCTGCTTTCACCATTGACAATGCTCCCAAACAACACCAAAGATGGAAGACTCTTGCATCTCTATGCCCTGTCAGTAAGGGCCTTTAATCTGTTTTAGCATGAAAAATTCATTAAGAATGTACTATTATTTCATCAGTGAAATCCTCAAATTTTAAATTAAATCCATAGGTCTGGTTTAGCAATCGCCGTGCAAGATGGAGGAAGCAAGCTGGAGCCAATCAGCTGATGGCTTTCAACCATCTCATTCCGGGGGGATTCCCTCCCACTGCCATGCCGACCCTGCCAACATACCAGCTGTCGGAGACCTCGTACCAGCCCACAGCTATCCCACAAGGTACACAGAAAGGAAGTCACTGAGATTAGATGTAACTCCTAATCGCTCTGTCTGGTGGATATTTCATTATACAGCGAATTCTTTCCCTAAGTTGACCTCGGTGCTGTTTGTAGGTCAATTATGTGACATCAGGTTGTCTTAAAGGTTCCTGCCACATTTCAGAAACATAGTTTGTCCTAGGACATATCTGAATCTCTTTAGATAAACTGTGTTGTAATGAAATACTATTTCAGCGTTTTAAAAGGAATCAACATGGGATTTGCTTTTTTCTTGGTTAGAATGTTACTGCTCCAATTTGTAATTACCTGAAGCCCTTCAATGGTTACTAACTGGAGTGGTAATATAGGGAAGGGAAGGGAAGCTTTGATAAATTTACTATGTGTTAGCAAATAGGTAGAAGTGAACTGGGTAATGTTGAATTGTAAGACTAAATCGATTTTGGATTAAGAATATATAGCATGCCAGGTACTTGAAACTGTGCTATTATACTGATATTGAGGTAGTAGTACCTAAATATTATAGTACCTAATATAGTACCTCAATGTATCAAAAAGTACATTTTGATGGGAAATTTGAGATTGCAGTCATGATATTGGTGAATTCTCACATTGATTAATAGTTTTCATCGACAAAAGAGGCTTGTAGGTGTTATTAATGTGATTTCTGCATTCATATTCCAGGTGACTATGTCATGCATGCATATACCAGTCATACACTTGCAGATAGGCCCAAAGATAGGTGTGACTATTTGTTGAGTGATTCTGCACCTGCATGTTAGGAAATGCATTTGAAATTCACATTCCATCTGAGCCATAGTTGCTACTACTGGCTTGCTGACTTGTGAACTTTTGCACTGAACCTGTTTCGCAGGCCTTTAGAGGCGCTTTAGCACTGACAGCCTTCTTCATTTCAGCCGTGTCGGATCCCAGCAGCACCGTTCACAGACCTCAGCCGCTTCCTCCGAGCACCGTACACCAAAGCACTCTTCCTTCGAACCCGGACAGCAGCTCTGCTTACTGCCTCCCCAGCACCAGGCACGGATTTTCCAGCTATTCAGACAGCTTTGTGCCTCCGTCGGGGCCCTCCAACCCCATGAACCCCGCCATTGGCAATGGCCTTTCACCTCAGGTCAGTCCCATGGTTCTAGACAGACGATTTGCTGTATACCAGAACCAAATAGTCAATTCCCCGAGGCGGTAGAATAATGAATTACCAAATTTAAACCATAATGTATTCTTTATACAAGCCACATGATTTCAGTTTTCTAGTTTCCTTTCTCTCTACCCTTCCTCCTGCTGCATCAAAAGTTGTAACTTAGACTTAAAATCCAAGCAACTCTTAAGGTAATCGCAGAGGCTTTGTGTTTATACTGAGTTGTTAAGTCGTTTGTCATGTGTCTTCTCTGTCCCAGCTCTGCTTTGGTTAAGAACCTCACAAACAGGGTGGGTCTTTTTTGTTGTTGTTGTTTGGTTGGTTTTTGCCTCAAATGGTATTTGGTCAGCTGACAGGGTTTTGAGCAAACCTAACTCATGAGAAAACACCAAATCTTTGACAAAACAATCGGAGAGCAAGCAGACAAGTTGGGTGGAGAGAGACCCAGCTGATGGCTATGGATCCTTGGAATGAATGAGTTATAAATGCACAAATTAGGAGAATTGCTGCTCTTTGGGAATATATAAATATTTGAATGTTGTAATTGTTTTTCTAATTTGCATTGGACTATGAGCTTTTCTTGGGAGATCACATTAATAAATTGCCTTGATAATTGCATGTCAGAGGGATGGTTAAATTTCCTACATGTGGCATCTGTCTGAGGTTGACATTATTAGCAGTTGTTTAAATACAGATCACTTGATTTTATTAGAGAGCAGTTGGCCCAGGTGGCAAGGATAGCTGCCCACTAAATTTGGAGAAATGTCACAAAGGGGTTGCAATCTATAATTGCAATCGAGAATCTCTTCGGGGCTGAGAGTGAGAGTTTTAACAGCTTTATCTTTTCTCGACCTCTTTTTTTTTCCTCCTGGTGGTTAGAAAAACAGAGAGAAGCTCAGAATGACACAAATGAAAAGTGAAAAGACAATTATACTCAATTACACACTAATCACGGACTATCACCGCCGCCTAAGCACCGAGAGGGCTTTCTAATAGGCAGAAAATGAGATTTTAATGGCACAAAGGGTGGCCAAAATAACGACTCATATATCTTTGCCTTCTTGGTTTTCTTCAACTCGTGGCGTGTGTGTCTTAGAGTGGAGCTCTTGGGCTCTGCACAACGGTGATAACTCTGAGCAGCTGAAAAGTTCAAAGCCGTTGGAGTTGAAAAGAATGGATAGCAAAGGCAATGAAATAAACATTTCCGCCTAAAGGCAAAAGTTCATAAATCCTTTTTTGTAACACTAAATGTAATTAAGTTTCATAGATTCCTATAGCACATCCTGGGATTAAAAAAAGAAGTATGGGGGCTTTAAACCTCAACTGCAAAATAACAACATGAAAACAACCAGAGTGCTTCCTACAGCACTTGAATGCATTTTATGTCTGAGGACTGGCATTTGTGAATGTGATTTTGCATGACAATCATGGGTTTATATTAATAGTCGTCTTTAAAGTGCCCACATGCATCACACAGAAGATTCTTCCACTGGTTAGAAGTAACACAGGAAGCAGTTATGTCTGCGATTTTTAACGTTAGTCTTTTAGGGCCATAGAAAAGCTTCTTATGAACATGATTTCGTTGAAAGTTTTCATAGATGTGAACTCTGACCCTAGCCACTTCTGTAAGGTGAGATGCAGGATTCCACTGACATTTCTTAGAACTCATTTTAGTTGATCATAAGGAAAAGAACAAGAATCTGTATTCTTGTTGGAAACAACTAGTTTCTTGTATTATATTATCTTGGATGCAATGATAAGTATATTATATAGGTATTACGTAAGCGCTATTACTAGAACCTGAACTTCCAGCTGCTAATCCTTGACTTTAAGAAGATTGACAGAGTTCAGAGTTGGTGGTAGAGTGGAATCATTTGATGAAGCAATGGAAAATTCTACAGGTAACTTTTCCTTATTAAATCTTATATGTTACCTTAATCACTTATTACCTTGCAAATATCCAGGATATTTTGTGTTTCTACCACATATTTCTCTCTAAGATCCTGTGTTGTCTTAGTTCTGGTAGCATTGCTAATGAGTAAAGAAAGAGATGAATAAGATGAAGTTTCTTCTTATTTCTTCAGGCAAAGTTGGAGAACAAGATAAGGAATGATTCTCTATCTCAACAAACATATTTATAAATTAGTGATGTAGAAAAAAATGGGATTGGAACTCAGGTTTCTGTAACTGTTGGAGTTTATCACTTCTCACAAATGCCTTTATGTATACCAGAGGTGCCTGTACCAGTTTTGGTTGTCTGGCTTTCTTAAAAATATACTATTTCTTAAAAACAGTATAAAGAAAAATTAGAAGAAGGGCTGGGGCTACAGCTCACGTGGTAAAGCACTTGCCTCACATGTGTGAGGCACTGGGTTCGATCCTCAGCATCACATACAAATAAATTTTTTAGTCTACAACTAAAAAGAAGATGTCTAGTAACACGGTTTACTTGTTAACTAAAGAAGAGACTAAAAAAAAAAAAACAGTGACTCTTTTGCTTATTTATACACATATGTTTATTATAGGGATATATATATATATATATATGGTTTATCATTTGCTTATTATAGAGAAGCACTGATTAACATGTTGGATCAGAAGATGCCAACAAAGAATTCATGTTGCAATTGTGTTTTCTCCTTTTTCTTTCACCTCCTCTTTTTTACCTGCTCCACTTCTGTCTGGTCATCAGTTATGCAAGTAGTTCAACTAAGGCCCTGTATGTAATATGTCTCGCCTTTCCAGGTTTGGTACCTTCATTGTAGATCTCTTCTATGGAAGCTCCTTGACATGTTAAAAATATTTCTGCATTTTATTTGCTGTGTTCTCTGACATTGAAATTGATGTATTGTTGACCATTTGGAAATCATGAGCTGCGCTGTATATGGATCATCATCATAGACTGGACTTTCTAGTTTTTTTTTTTTCCTGTGATGGAATTAATAGACAGCATAAAGATAGGCAGACCATTTCTCTGTATGTGTGCATGGATAATAAGTGATTTTCGTTTGGTGCCTCTCACGATGTATGTCTCCAGCAAAGATTCTATTGAAGCTCAGAAACACTCATTTGCCAAATGGTGCTCCGTAGACATCTCCAGGCCTCTCCTTAGGGAAGGTCTCTGCTTCACGGGGGGCAAGTGGGAAACCAGGATCCAGAGTGTTCACACCTGTACAGATGGTCAGATAGTGTAGCAAGGCATTGTCCTGTACCGTGGCTGACTAAATCTCAGAATACCAAAATCAAAACAAGAAACAATGGGAAACTTTGGTCATACCCTTCCTTGAGTTGCTGAAAGTAGTACCAGGGCAACTTAATTGCTGGCAATTTTTCTTTGTTATCAACCAATCAGCAACTATCAGGGGAGCATCCCCATTTTACTTGTGGGAAAATTGAGGCCCAGACAACACAATCATCTAAATAACAGAATGAGTTTCTGGCAGGGTTAAGCATCAAACCTATCTCCTATTTGTTACTAATTCTTCTGTGAACACAAATTACATTAAAAACTTTTTTTTAAAAAAAGTTCCTCAAATTACATATTTTTCATTTCTGGTCTCTACCAAAGGATGCATAATGTTCTGAGAAGCTTTCTGTGGGCTCTGATACTGACATTTGAGCTGATTCTCCTGCAGACGTGGTGGGAGGGCTTCACAAATGGAGGACTGGGCTTCCAGTCCCTCCAAAGCTGGATCCAAGAGGGGCTACCTGAGGAGAGATCTTCAGTGATGGTGAGGTGGGTGATTGGCTATAACCCCCCCATATTTTCTACTTTCTCAGAATAGCTGTCTGAACTACATGTTCTTTTGTTGTAGGGACAACACAGAATATGGGGAAATAGAAACCTATTTCTCCTTCATCCTCAGACAGTGTGTTTCCAGCACCTTTCAGCATGTGCAGGAGGGACAGGGAATGGTCTTGGAGTATGGAGTGCCAGGAAATGCTACCATATGCTTAAGACATGAGACTAATTAACATTTGGCTCCTATTCTTCTAATTAACTTTCCTAGGCAAGAAATATGACCCACACTGCTCTCCTACCCCCGAACACACATAGCCAAACCCCCAAAACAAGACCAATGAAATTAACAAACTTTTATCATTTCACGCCCCACCTCCACCCTCCTTCAACAAACTCCACAGTTCCTTAGTGACGGCTTCTAGGGATTTCTTGAGTGAAAAATAGTATCAGTGGATTCCATGCTCCTGGGCAGCCTTTCTATTGTTCTGTCGTATACAAAATTGGGGCCACTTGAATTTAGGGTTCATCAACCATTGCAAATGATTCTTCAAATGTTTTGGGTTTGGTAAAACCTGAAACACATTTCTGCCAAGCACTTTTCCTCCTTAATTTTTCAAACTGTGTATTTTAGGGAAAATTTGATCCATATGGTTTTGATTCATTTACTCTTATATCGTTGACATTTTTTTTTTCCTACGGAGCCATTTGATACCCAAGAAGCTTTCTGAGCCCTTCCTACACTCATTGAAAGCCTTTTCCTTCTTAAAAAGAGGAAGTCCTGTTTGCAACCTCAGAGGCCATAAATTTTGAGTACCTCTCAATTCAGCAATACTTAAAAATACATTTGGTATAAATCTGGATTATTATGAACACATTTTATGTTTAGAGCATATGGGCAGATTTTAGTTTCTAGTTTATGAGTGAAACCAATGAAAATATAAAAAAATAGGCTTAAGTTACAAAAAAAAAAGGTTTTGTTTTAAAGAACGTTTAACTGTTATTCTTTTTAAATGTTATTAATAAATCCCTATGGTAAGAGCTATGCTCAGAGGCCTCATTTGAATTTTGTCCAGGTCTTGGGTAAGATGTAATTGAATAACCAGTACACCTGTCCTATTTTATGGATAATCTAGAGGAAAGAAAAAAGTCTCATAAAGATTTGTGTACCAGGCTGGAAAATGTTTGAATGTTTGCTTGCCGCTCAGCACCTCAGGAACAAAGCGTAGGTCTGCAG